CTATCAACGCGCTCTTTGATGAAGAATGTCTCAGGATGTATTTTCTGCCTTGTCCTTCCAGTGATTATTGCTTCTCTGTCAGGTGTCCCAGTGTTTGGTGCCTTAAAAAAAAGGTCACATGCTCCACTGGACAACTGCACAGCACCCCATGGAAGTATAACAAAGCAGTAAACACTTACCTGAGGTCCACACACTGGCATTTGAATAGTGTGAACAGAGCAAGGCACAGCCTACTAAACTGCATGTCACAAGCTTATTGCACATGCTGTTCATATTATTCTACACAATGCTGTGTCAAAACCCAATCATCCATTTATAATTGTATTATGCGTATTTCACAGTTGTTACCATCTTGCTGTGCCTCAGAGTGAAAAACAGCATGTGCCCATTAAAAATATCCAATTATGATTCACTGGGCACCTCAAGATGAAGAACTGCAGTAAGCAGCAGGTCAGTCACAAAATCCATGTGGTTGCTAAATCTGAGACTTGTAAAAGTATGCAACTCTTCTGTATTCCCAGCTATGTGCTGTGAGTTTACCCTCTATTGTGTGCTGGATCATTTTTAGGCACGTTTGGTGCTGCGTGCGTGTTTGTGTGTATGTGTGTGTGTGTGTGTGTTGTCACGGTCTCTGTGTTTCTCCCTGGTGCTTGAAATAATCTCTTTCTTTGCACATTCAAATTACAATAAGCCCCATCTTTTGTGTGTAACTAGTGTGTGTCCCGAGTAGAAATAGCAGTGGTAATATGTCCAATCTGTGAGGTCCTACCTCTTGTCCACGGGTTGTTATGATAATCCAGACTTTGGGCTACAACTGTCAGCAGTGACTCTCCAACATGGTCTGGGCTCCCAGGGACAGCAGCTGGCTACCTCTTATTTAAACTCTTACCCCCCAAGTGAACAGGATGCTTGCCATACCTGTGCGAGTAATACGAGTTCCCTGTACAATGCCGTCATGCTTAAAATGAGTTGCTCCAGCACAATGAATCTCAACTGTACCCTCAAATATCTGGCTCTGAGAGGCTGCGCTGTGGGCCCACTGCTATGTTTGTGGCAGACACTGCTGCACATCCACAGAGGAATTCAGGAGCAGTCATTTCAAACACTTCTGCCTTTTCATGTTACAAATGTACAGTATGTATGGGCGACTTCAAAGACTATGACAAAAACTTTGCAACATATGACCACAAGGTGTCTCTGCAACCTCAGAAACTAGAGAAAAAAATAAAAGGGGGTGAGGGTCTTTGACTGATTACCAGCAACAGATCAGATGCTAGGATGGATTTTTGTGGTTGATGCTTTCATCTTGGTAAAAGAGGAAATGTAAATGTGTTAAATTTTTTTTGGGAAAATATGTTAGTGTGTATGGAAAAAGCTAGACTGCTCAGTGTGTTGGGTATAAATGTATAAAGTTACATCTTTATTAGTAGATTGGTTTAGGTTGCATGCTACAAAAAAGTAATGAAATCACAGGTTGTTCAGATATTATAGAGTAAATTAATGCTGTAAACATTGTTAGAAGTTTTACAGGAATGCACTAAAACTTTATACATAATTTGAAAGCCTATATATACCCATTAAAATTGTCATATTGGGAGGAAGAGGGGAGGAAAGAGATGCATTGCAGATGGTCTTCTTTCTGATTTTTGTTCATCAGATGTTCGACCATTTATGCATTACTTCTGTGGAATGTTTTTATTTTGAAAATCAAGTGTGATTTTCCGCAGCAGTATTGGTCTGACCAGATGGGGATTTTTCCCTTGCAGACCCCAGTCCTTTATAACAGCAGCATCATCTCATATTCTGCTAGAAGTGCACACTGCTTACCACTTTACATTAACTGCCTTCTCCAAGACCAATCCCAGCGCTGACCAGAGAGTACAGTATAATGAAAGGCAATCTCCCCAAAGAACTCCGGAGCTCCTCAGCTCAGATGCTTTCCCCTTTAATTATGTGTTGGCCTTTAGCCTTGAAGAAAAATAACATCCCTTTTGCATACAGTAGGACAGGAGGAAAACACGTGCACAGGAATAGCAGGATGAAAAAAAAAAAAAGACTCAAGGGCAGATGGAAAGGCATTCGTATTTATTTGAGGAAAGGCCTAAACATAGCTACAAAGAGGTCCACGCTGTCTTCAAGTACCACATTTGGAGGTGAAACAACATAGTTACACAGGGGATGAAAGGCGATTCTGCTTCTTTGTTTCTCGGGATCTAAAAATAACTCTTGCTGAGCAGGCAGTGAAGCTGAGCTGCAGTCCCTTCTCTTGCTCCATTTTCCTCCTCATTCTGTCGCTCACTCTCTCTCACACATAATGCATCATGGTAATATCGCATGTGAGGTGACTTTTACTTCAGATGTGATACAGTTAGTGGGTGAGCTTGGTCTGGTCCTACGAGAACTGCTGTTATCTGACATACAACATGCACCTTAGATACAGGAAGTGTTGTTAATATTTGTACAGTAATTGAGAGTAAAAAAGTACGAATGTACAAACATCTCTGGGCTAATAAGGAAAATAGAAATTATCAATTTGTCAAAGATGTGTTATTTATTTTAAAGGGTTTGCAAGTAGAATAAAATTATAGTTTCCAGTTATTATTCATAGCTTGAAATTGTTTCTTTTTGTTGAAAAAAAAATATAGTCACTAATCTCTCGAACACACACACACACACACACACACACACACACACACACACACACACACACACACACACACACACACACACACACACACACACACACACACACACAAAAAGGCAATACTGCCGTTGCTAAAGCAGGTGATAAAGTTTGCTGCCACTTGTGTGGCTGTATCCAAGCAATTACAAAATGCCAACAGGTCCAGCACATATTTATCAGTGTTGCCACTGTGCTCACATCCCTAGCAACCTTGTGTTATTGTCCTGCAGATTAGTTCCCCACCCCCACACACACAGATACCATACTGCTGTACCCCTCGTGATCTCACATTTATGGAGGGAAACAGTGCTAATCTCATTCTATGGAGAGATAGATCTGTAGTATACGGACGCAAACACATTTAGAGATTTTCACAGATGAATTCTGACGTGTATCTTTTATATCTATTAATGTACAGAATACAATATGTGCACATGCTGTATGTAAAAATTGATGAGTAGGATTTACAGTCACGAAGAGGAGGTGAGTCAATTCACAATATTTCCCCCTAGAGTGAATCATATATTGCGTAAAGCCTGGCATTGGAGAGGAGGAATTTGTTTTGCATTTCTTCACTGGCAGCCAAAACACCCTCACACAGTGGGAGTGATGGAGCACACATTTCTGTTTATCCTGGCTCGAGGAGAAAGAAACAAGGGGCAAATCACCCATGAATGGAACAATGGAGGCAAACAGCACTGAAACTGAAACCTGTTTTGCAGAACAGTTTTGTGTAGTGTGCATGAGATTCAACCCCAATCCTTGGAGTTTTAACATCGAGACCACCTCTGGTAGAGTAGATAAATTACAGTGCACTGTAACATCCAATCACCCATCCATATTAGTGAATGTGTAGCACAAGATATTAGACCAAGAGGTCCCTGGTGGACAAGTTGCAAAGATGCTGACAAAGGGCCAGATGAGCACTGATATAACTGAGTGGGAAGATCAAACAGCTCAGAGACTGGGAGGTAGCAAAGGAACAAATCAGTGGACTGCAGTAACATACATTATCTGCTACAGCCAAATCCATCACTCAACAACACAGTTAATCAGATAGGCTATACAAATAATTTCTAACCTTTTAGACTTTTACCATCTGATTGCATGCAAATGCAGTATCTCTGCTATACTATCAGTGTTGACTTGGCTGATGTGTAAATGCCAAACTATTCTAACAATGCTAAAATATTTGTCTCACAAAATGATATATTATTTTGATGATGGGGATGTTCTTTGGTTTCCTTGTGTTTGTTAAGATGCACAGAGCGTGATAAATTGGAAAAGGATGTTTCAAGTGCATCTGTGTTCCCAGAAGAGATTATTAGATTTGTGGCAGCGAGAAAAACCACTGCAACAAAGGATTTACTGAATATGCTGCACATTTTCTGCTGCTGTACAATAAATCTAATAGTCCCCAATTCAGGATTTCATGATATGTCATCATCTCACAAAGGAAAAGGCTAAGACAGTGTAGCCACTTAAATGGGGACAGTCAGCGATGACAGCCAAACAAGATGCACTGTGGATTTTGACAGTGAGCATCCAGTTTTTACTCAAGTAAATCCTTGAAATTTCATAAATCTTGCAGCATGAATGCTTTCAGGCTATCATCTTCACTGATTACATTGGGGAAATTAATAATATTATGGATTATGTATACAGCTAAAAAAAAATGTGTAAAACACAGATTGCACTGATGATGTAAGCTTGTTGTTGACTTTCCCAGTCTGAATGACTGAGCAAAGGATAGGGGGTGGGGTGTCATTAATCCATGGCTAGTGATGACCAGACAAGCAAAAAAGAGGTGTAGTGGGGGATGGGCGAGGACACTCTTGTTGTGACTGGTGCTTGGCTGCGGTACAAACTTCCAGAGGCCTAGGCATTTTTTTCTTTCCCTTCTCATTGGTCGGTTTCAGTGAGGAAATGTGGCTCCATTTTGCTGTGAAAACGTCAAACGGACCAGGAGTTAAAATTTAATCAACGCTGGATCACGGCTTTCAACTTTAATAAACCACGACGTGTTGTTTGCGCTTTTGGAAAAATAGGTTAGTTGTCTATATAGCATTATATCCTAGCGCCACTTGGTAGAAATGTGAAATAACGCTGTTGATAAGTAGGCATCTGTTGGCTACTATTCTTACATAAGTTACCAACCCCACTCTGCCGTAGACGATGGAGGATACGGTGAATGCACTGTCCATTGTCGTCGTCACGGGTTAATCGTTATATTGCGCTTTAGCGAGTAGAGCTTTGAAATAACAGTAGTTACAGGCAGCTCATTTTTGCATGTCAGGTCACTCCACTGTGTCGAATGTCTGAAGCCGTTGCTGGCTTCTTACCGCCTGGCTTTAGCTTTAATATTATAACCTAACGATAGTTAATATATGTGCGAAAACCATCTGTCTTGCAGTCGATTAAATAGATAACATGGTCTGACTTGAACACAAGAGCTGTGGAAGATATCGGCAATTGAAAGGTTATATCCAAGTAGGTACGAGATTATAGCAACACTGTCATTAGCATAGCATGCTAGCGTTAGCTACCGCGCTAGTCTGTCTCGGTTTGGACCGATAGCGACGGGCTGACGATCTCACTGTACTCATCAGAAATGCTATTTTAAAGAAGCTAACTTAACGTTTTGGGGTGTTGTCTAAAAAACTTAAACTATGAAACGCTTAACTGTAATGTTTGGTAGCTAACTGTAATGTTTGGTAGCTTACTGTTGGTGTCCTGTTTCAAATTAACGAAATCTTAGACCGCCTTGCCTGAGTGGCATGTGGGGTGACGGGTACGGCCGCCGCCAAGGCAAAATTAATGTTAGCTCGCCATTAGCCAGGGTGCTAACGTTGACTAGCTCATGGCAGTGTCTTAAATCGGTTTGAAATGTAAAGTTCCCTATTACATAAGTTGGCGAGGTAAAAAAAAAGACGCAAGTACCAAGTGTTTACTTGACAATCACTTAGAATAAGTTCTGATAAAGCCCGTTCCCATTTCCCCTGTACATCCACTTAGTGACCCATGACATGTGGGCAATTGTCAGCCTACTGTTAACATTACATCTTTAATGAGTTAGATTAAACGATTACTACATTTAATTGACATGGCACTGCGGCATATTTCAGTGTTCCACAAACAGGAGTGGACATTTGATTCAGGCTTGTCTTATAGAAATAAAGTGCATTTTGAGTCATTCATCGATACAAACTGTGCCACAAATCTGGCGGCTGCCTGCTTCAGATAGCGTGTCGGTTAATGCACGCACTGTAGTTTGTTCAGCCCATTCACTCGCTACCGTGTGTGGGGGGGATGGGCAATGTATTTCCGCTAGTAGTTTACCATGCTATCTTGCTAATTAGCTACCGGCAGATTAACATGGTGACATAACTTGTATGTATTTAACTTGCACGAAATAAGTGTGAGCTGAGAAGGACCTGCAACCACACACACTGAAATGGCGATAAAAACAAAATCTGAAAGATGCAGCTATATGAAACTACGTTAAAAAAAAAAAACACCACCTCAGCCACCTGTTTATGAACCAGTACCAGTGAGCTGTTGGCTAAGTGGATATTGTAGGAGGCAAGCATCTCAAACATGTCTTACTAAATTCAATTCACAATGACATGTCTGTGTTTCATTTACTTAATACAATACATAAGCACACTCCCCTTTAATTAGAGTTCTTCAGGGATAGTTGTACCATGCATAGCACAATCCACTGGCTGTTCTGGCTTTTTACATTGCTGACCCAGTTTCTCTCATTGTTCGGTGACACGCCCCTTTGTACATAACACTTTCCCTGGCTGCCTTTTCACCCACTCTCTGACACACTGCTGCTAAAATGTCCATTCTAATTAAGGTAATTTGTCACAGCACTGATAGAGAAACACTGTTATCTGTGAATACTATGGCAAGGCCTGTGTGGTTCGTGTGCTGCTTGCTGCTACACGTTACTTTATACATAACTTTGGGGAAGATTACTAAACTACAGTACATGATAGGAGATGGTCTGAAGTGTATAAAGCAACAAGCAGAATATTGAATGGGATTAATAAGTTTTATTTTTCTTGTTTGCCAAATTATTGATAGGGATACTACAATGCATGATACAGAATATTGAAACATTTTGAGAACAAGTGATTTCAGCCTGGAGAAACAGTATAATCTATCATTTATATAATTTAGATATGATGACAATCTGTGATTCATTTTCTGTCTATTTCTCTCAGGGACTGAAAGTTCTTGCTGGGGACAACGGAGATATGATGCGCCTCTGAAAATACCTTGCTCACATGGGTAGTGTATCTTGTTTCTGTTCCATATCCAAAATTTGGTTCACCTCTTTTTATGGCTGCACACATTTATTGAGGTCTGGAAGATCACTTCACTATAGCAAAGTGTCAGGAGTCCTATAGAGATGGCAATTTAACTATCTATTCAACCAGTGGTAGGATGGTATACAGAAATGACTCAGACAAGACCAACTGTTAGTATTATGCATGCCCCAATAATGGCTAAGAACATACAAATTTTTAACCTTAAAATATACCTAAAATAACCCAATTGTTAACATAGCTGTTGCAGTAATCAAGTGCTTTAATCAATGACAACTAATGTAAGTGTAATGAATATCCTGCGTGCTTGTTGTTTCAACAATGAACCGAATTTTAGTGTTGGAGAGGTGGTTGTTGTGGCTTCAGAGAAGAGAGATATCAGTAAAGGCCATACAACATTATTTGCATTCATTGTTGTTTTGAAATCATGATATTGGTCTGAGTTGTGGTATTATTATTGTGATTCCGCAGCTAAATTGCTGTACACTGCCCAAGGTTTGGTGGAGTGTGGCACTGGGTCAGTACACATGTTGAAATTATTGCTGAGCATGTACTGCATGTTCAGAACTCAGGTGTGTAATAATGGAAACAATTGCTTTGAATCAAATAAAACATTGGTTAAGAGTGTGCAGTACAGTACTTCCCACAGAATTAGATTCTACTTGTTGCGATAGCTGACCACTGGGCTTTCTCAAATTAATTATCAAATATTCCCATATATAAGATACTCTATTGCAAATATTATAATATATAAATATAAGTACTTTATGACAAATAAATAGCTGAACAATGCAGCGTACAGTGTAATTTCTTCACGTCATGCCCAGCCCCGGCATGCAGCACACTCTGCACACCCTGAAAGACAGGCACACAGACAGATCCATTGTTGATGTATGGGAAACACTGCTGTAATACTTTTTTGAAAGAGCACCAATTGAAGGTCCACAGTGGGTTTTGGTGGACTGTTTTGTTTGTACACTTAACTCATTTGCATGTTGTCTTTTACACCTGTGCAAATTATTTGAAACATTTGGTGGATGGCCATTGTAAGTCCATCAGTATGACTTGTTGAAGGTCCTGTCCAGGGATAAACGAGGCTGAAACGGGGAAGGGAAGTGAAAGCACAATGTAGCATAGAAAGCAACTAGTACTCTCATTTATAACTAATAAGATTTAAATTTCTTATGATAAAGAATCATAGGCTTCCAACTGCTGGAAAAGTGAACTTGAAGTTAGAAAGTGACAATGGCCTTTTTATTTTTATGTAGACAGGACATTGTGCCATTGCATTTTGAGATTATTTTCCATTAAATATTGAAATTTGTAAATAACTGTTTTGGCATGCCTGGCTGAGTGGCACTAACCATGGTACTGAAACTAGGATTTAGCCTAATCGTAGCATGTTAAATTAGCATCAAGCCTGGTGTATTTATGAGTTTCAACCATGAACTATTAAGTTGATAAGCTTTTAAGTGTGATCCCATAAACTTTAAAGATAACGAAGAGATTCTTGGAACAATTTGCTTGTTGCATAGACCATCTTTCATGTAATTAGCTACTAATTAGACTGTCTAATCCTTTCTCATGAAACATACAACTGAATATCTTGTAACATGATGAGACTCAGTCAGCTAAGAATGGGTCATTTTCATGTTGACCTCCTCAGTCTTGTGAGTAGCTAGATTGCTCCCCCAGAGAAAGAAACACAGCTTGATAAAGCTGATGATCAGCCCTGATGTTCATAAAACATTCAAATATTGGACACAATGCCAGCGAGATGAATTGGTTGACCTATTCTTGTAACTGTGCTCTGACCCTGTTCACTGCTTTCAGACTTGCATATTAATGTAATTTTGCTGGCACCCTTTGAAAGCAGGTTAATATCCGATAAGCACAAGTGTTATATCAACATGATTGTAGTGCACCGTAACCATACTGAACCTTAAAGAAAATAATGGAAAAACACAGTGTGCTCTAGCAGCCTGAGTAAAGTAGTGGTGCACCCACTTGAATGTGAAAGTGGTCTCAGACTTTTGGACCCTACTGTATATATAAAGTAAGTATGTTCTTTCTATGTTGAAAGATTGTCATTCATTGTTTGTTTCACCCTGAATAGAAGCTCAATCTGTTAGATATTGTGGTTGTATCAAGCCATTTGCTAAGTGCTAGTGGTAGTGCTTCATTGTGAGAAACATTAGCCATCATGACTTGTGACCACCTTGTTAGGGATTGCTGAAGGGTTTCTACTAGATTCAAGGCCTCTTGGTTCAGTTGGTCTTGGACCTCAGCCTCTGGGATGCAGCAGGAGACATGTTGACTTTTTCAGACGGCTGGCATGATGGAAACAGGAGAGGTTCTGTCCCTCATCCAGACCCCTTGTTTATTTCCACAGTCTCGTTTAAACAGTGCGGGTTCCGCATGAATAAATATGGAGGCCGGACACAAGAACTGTACAATCTGTTATTGCTGAGGTTTAAAGCCCATCTATTCCAGACGTTTTGGTCCAAAATACCCCGCCTACCTTGTGAAGACGGCTGGTAATTATTTCCAGTTGTAGGTTAATGAATGGAAACTTGTGCCCTGCTTAGAGCCAGGAGGCTTCTGCAGCCACCAAAGATAGAGAGGAACGAGACATCATTGTTTATCAAATGGCAGATCACAGTTTGCCTACTTCCCTCTTCTAAAGTTGCAAGATCTAGGTCAAGCAAGGTGATGTCTTTTCTAACCTCTTCCTCTTCTCGGTTTTCATTGTGTGTGCCAGTTTGGAATTAAGCTTGTAGTGTAACACCACCCTCGGTGTAAGTGTGTGTCAGGTCTCTTTTACACCTGGATCTGTGAAATAACATGTCCTCTTACTTGTTACTATCCATTTATGTTTCTGTGGGATGTTAATGCATGTGAGCGATGGAGATACTTTCAGGATACAAGTAAAAGCTCCTCTCAGCTCATTTCTGTGATGTGTAATACTCTGTGGTTTGCTTTTACAGGCTCCTATCCTGTGCTGACCCAATGGTTTAATCACCAGGACTAAAAATGAGCATAAGCAGTGATGAGGTCAATTTCCTGGTTTACAGATACCTGCAAGAGTCAGGTAAGTGTGACAGATTTTATTTACTAAATTACTAATTATTTAAAATCTAAAATTTTACACTGCTGCTGTTGACACTCTGCTATTGAACTTTGACTCTTATTTCCAAATGATTGTGCCTCTTCCAGGCTTCTCCCACTCAGCGTTCACCTTTGGCATAGAGAGCCACATCAGCCAGTCCAACATCAATGGAGCCCTGGTGCCCCCTGCTGCCCTCATCTCCATCATCCAGAAGGGCCTGCAGTATGTTGAGGCAGAAGTCAGCATCAATGAGGTCAGGGTCCATCTTTACACCATCAACTGCTATTTAGTGTATCCCTAAAATAAATTGGCAAGAACTGCACAGTCAGCTTTATGTTTTGACTCAGGTGTTCCTGTTGGCTTATATGTTGGAGAATATTTTTTCAATGATATCCATTATTAACATAAGGAAAGTGTGGTTATATAAAGTTTTGTGTTTTCTGCGTAGGACGGGACCTTATTTGACGGGCGGCCCATTGAGTCGCTGTCTTTAATCGATGCCGTGATGCCAGATGTGGTCCAGACCAGACAGCAGGCCTACAGGGACAAACTGGCCCAGCAGCAGCAGGCGGCGGCAGGCAGCGGCAGCAGCACAGGACCCCAAGGAAGCACGAAAAACGGAGAGGGCGCTGCCAACGGGGAGGAAAATGGATCCCACGCCTTAGCCAGTAAGCTAGCTCATGGTTGTTCAGTCTCTGAATCAACTCTTTAACAAACAGCTGTGTTTTTTTGTGTTTGGGTGAAAAAAAAATGTTTGGCCACACTGCAGGAATTTATTTTCATAATCTTCTGCAGGATGCTTGGATATAATAATATTAAAGAGTGAAAGATGCTGTGTAAGCTTTTTATCAGCTCTTTATCAGGCTCACTGTATTATTGTCCCCTTTCACTTGAAAGTCTGACACAGTTATATAAAAGCTGTAATTTTGGATGATACCACAGCAGAAAGTTGGCACATTTCTATAATAATAATAATATAAGTCCAAAATAATAAACAAAACAAATGTATGGCTTGGTGGTATGACCTAAATATCTACCACAGTAAATTTATTTCAAAGTAATGATATATATCGTGGTATAGAATTATGTCCCTAGTAAAGGAAAACTACTGCTTAATTCATGAGTTCAATGTTACATGGCTAACCTAACCCTTTGTTAACCAGTTCGTGAGGGGAAACCTGTTTATGTGTGTGTGTGTGTGTGTGTGTGTGTGTGTGTGTGTGTGTGTGTGTGTGGCCTCGCCTCTGCCTCTGCCTGTGAGTATGATTTGTTCCCTCTTTCTGATGACAACTGCGATACAACTTTAGGATTCTGTCTGGTGTGAAATGTTGCCTACTTGGTATAACATAAAGCTACTCTGGAGTTTTCCTTAAACCTGCACGTGCTTCCACATGGTTTTGTTCTGTCTGTGTCTTCATGTCTGTTCTCACCTTTTCCCAGCGTACACAATTGTTTGTTTATTTTAGCGTAGGAGGAAAAATGTGGTCTGGTTGTTGTCCCTCAAACCCTCTTTTTCCCAACAATGATAACACCCCAGGCCTTAGAATCAAATTTAGATTGCTGCTGAGGGGTAGATTCAGGTTCTCACTGACAAAAGATGAGTCCACATTAGTGTACTCACTTACAGTATCTAGCATTGGTTGGTTACTTGTATTTTACACTCAGTGCCCACCTTATGGACAAGCTTTGTTTGGTACAAACACTCCTGGCCTTTCAAGAACAGCACAGCCTGCCCTTTAATTCCACTGCTGTCAGCTGTTCAAGCTGGTGTTCATTCAGTGCAGTGCCGTTTACTTGACACATGAAACACTGGCATCGCCATTCTACTTGAATTAACAACATCAGACGATGAAGTACATGTGCTGCTGTGAGACTGGAGGTTCCTTGGAAATGAGATGATGCCAAATGTTTAAATGGATCCGGTTTGCTTGCTGGTTGTTCATATGCAGAGCATTCAGAAAGTATTCATATCCCTTCAATTTTTTTTATTTTTTTTTTACATTTTGTAATGTTGCAGCCTTATGCTAAAATTGAAAAATAAATCCTTTTCCCCTCATCAATCTACTCTCACTGCACTATAATGAAGTGAAAACAGAATTTTAGAAGTTTTTGCTAATTTATTAAAAGCTCAGGTGACTCTCATTTCTCGTGACATCTGTCTAAGGTCTCACAGCTGATGATGCATTTCAGAGCAAAAAGAGGAGGTGGAAGGAACTGCCTGCAGAGCTTAGAGACAGGATTGTGTCAAGGCACAGATCTGGGGAAGGATACAAAAAAAAAAATTCTGCTGCACATAAGGTTCACAAGAGCACAGAGGCCTCCAAATTTCTTAAATGGAAAAAGTTTGGAACAAGCAGGACTCTTCTTAGAACTGGGCGCTTGGCTAAACAGAGAGATTGAGGGAGAAGGGCCTTGGTAGGAGAGGTGACCAAGAACCTGATGGTCACTGGCTGAGAGATCAGATCCTGTGTGGAGATTGAAGAAGCTTCCAGAAGGAAGACAGTAGTTTATGATTACTGTTAATATAAACCTTTAGTTAAAAGGTTTTGTTTGTGCTTCTTACTTCTTCCTGTAGATCACCACTCAGAGATGATGGAGGTGGATAGGGACGTGGAGATCCCCCAGAGTAAAGCCATGGTCCTGAGGGGCCATGAGTCCGAAGTTTTTATCTGCGCCTGGAACCCAGTGAACGACCTCCTCGCCTCTGGGTCAGTATCAGCACATCATCTCTCTCTGTCCACAGCTTTCACTGCTCATGCAGTGTCAAGAGTAATAGTGGTCATTGGTCAATGGTAAAAGTGTCATTCTCACTTGGACACTGAAGTCATGTAGTGCATTAGTTTATTTTAATACACCAATCACATTATTATCGATAGAGTCTTACATTTAATACAAGTCCTTTTTGTGTCCCACACGAGGTTGAGTTAATTAAAGACAAATTCAATGTCTCTTATTTGTCAGCCAATTAATTTTTAAAACATAATTAGACAATTGTAAATCAGGTTAAGAATTAACCTTGTCTTGTTCAGGGGAAACTTGTGATATATGAGAAGAGTTGTTTTTTTTCAAAGTCCCACCTCATTTATCACCGTTGAAGAACTCTTTGTTGACAGGAGTCATTGTTTTTCCAGTGTCATTATCCCTCCCCAGATGAATGCAGTCACGCAGAAGATTCTCTGACAATGTAGTGTTTATTAAAGAGCAAATCCTATTTCTGAATATGCTTGTGAAGTTGGGAGTGACAAATTTTCCAGTAACAGTGACTGACTAAAGGCTTGTTGCCCGTAAAGAACAACAAATTAACTGATTCATTACTACACAAACAGCCCCTATTGATTGATTGCATTTTAACATGTTCTCATCTAAACGCACAGCTTTCTTAGTCTTCAGTTTAAACAAACCCTCTCATTGAATCAACTATCTCCTTTGATGATGTTATGCGTTTACATCTCCACCCGCTCTTCCCACTGTGTTTGTCAACATTGCTCAGGGGAGATCCCTCAAGCAAAACATGTGATTGGACAAGATGCACCGGCTGGTCTGATCATGATTCTCTGCACGGAAGATAATGAAATTCTAAATACCCATCCCAGGACAAGCTTTGTCCAACTGTAAAATGGCCCCTACCCTGAGCCATAACATTAATGTCCTTTACAGCACATGGACCGATTCCCTGATCAGTGGGGAGAAGTGATTCAACTTTCACTAAACAAAAAAAAAAGGATCAGAGTGATTCGTCATCTTCCTAAAATCCCATTCGACTTAGTTTAGTGTTCATTTATAAAAGTAGTAAACCAAACAGAGGTGAGCATCCAGCTGGATACATATACTGTGTGTTCACCAAAGTACTGCTCCTAATCATGGGCACACCTCTTAAAATTAAAGGAAATTGGAGAGAAATGCAGTTATTCAGGCACAGTCCTGTAATATCAGAGCAAATATCCACACAAACGAAATCAAAGTCACTGAGTTTTGTGCTTGTAAAATTTCTTTCTCCTTTTTCCTCAACAGATGATGTGAAAAGGTTTAATAGGGTTTTAAAAAGATTTCGGATTTGATACTGGGTTCAGGTTCGATAAAATGCCTTAAAACCCCAACCCTACTCGAGCGACGATGGTCAGTTTCATACAATTTTCATTACTGATTTTAAAAGTCAAAGCCAAGTTATGGTGCCTAATGTAAGGTTGTCTGTGTGTCTCTGTGTGTGTGTGTGTGTGTGTGTGTGTGTGTGTGTGTGTGTGTGTGTGTGTGTGTGTGTGATGACTCGGGCAGGTCTGGGGACTCAACAGCACGGATCTGGAACCTAAGTGAGAACAGCACAGGCGGATCCACCCAGCTGGTTCTGAGGCACTGCATACGGGAAGGGGGCCAGGACGTACCCAGCAACAAAGACGTCACCTCACTAGACTGGAATGTGAGTGTGTGTGTGTGTGTGTGTGTGTGGTTGCACAGTATGATTGTGTGCGTCTGTTCCACTGAGTGCAGTTTTAGTAATCTAATCTAGTGCTGTGTGTGTGTGCATGCCTGTGGCCACTACTTCTGCTAGAGGCATTCCTTCCAACCAGATATATGGGGGCGAGTCATTCCCACAGGGGGAACAGGCCTTTTATGCTGCTCAGCTGCAACCTATTTTTTCCCTGAGTAGTACAAGTCGATGCACAACACCAAATTTGCACTAATAATTTATGTCATAAACTATTTATTACTCAGTATGAGCCTCATTAATGAAGAAAGTGGAATTTACTTGCAAAATATGGAAAAATTATGAACCAAAATATACAAATGAAATTTAGAATTATTTAATGCAACTTGCTGCAACTAATAAGAATCATTTCTGTCTCTTTCAGAGTGAGGGAACGTTGCTAGCAACAGGCTCATACGATGGGTTTGCTAGAATATGGACAAAAGATGGTAAGACTCTCAAGCTTGTACTACAAATATGAATGGATGGTGAAATGTTTCTCCTCTCTTTCTAAGCTCTGGTGGGTTTTTTTTTATGTTTTCAGGTAACTTGGCCAGTACATTGGGTCAACATAAAGGTCCTATATTTGCACTCAAGTGGAATAAGAAAGGAAACTTCATCCTCAGTGCTGGTGTAGACAAGGTAAAGCATATGGATTGATTTGAGCTGCGGTTTTTTCCCAAAATGCAGACATTTCTTGAAATATTGGTTTGTCAGTTTTATCCCTTTGGAGCCCCCTGAAATATTATCATCACTATCTTAAGCCCCATTCAGACAGGATTAACATTAGAGGGGGAGGTGGGGAAGAAAATATTCACAGTGCTCCTTAGTAAGTTAACTCTTCATTCCGGACGGCATTTTAACCAGTAGGAAATTACAGGATATGATCTGTGATAGACATGGACATATCTTTGGACAAAGACAAAAGCCTCATCACGGAGAGTTGAAGAGGGCGTGGAGAGACATGATGCTAATTCATGCAGCACATGAATGAAGTGCATATTGATATCATTCAGCATTACTTACACTTATGTCCATCGCAAATAAAGTTCCATAAATCTTCTTATAAATCATAGATAGATAGACATAGATAAAAGACTCTACAGAACTTGCCATTGAGAAAAAAAAAAAACTCAGATATTCTCAACTCATTTAAAGTCACTGACCAGCCCAGGTAATGTTAAAATCACCCCACCTCCTCTAGAGAAATAAATCCAGTCCGAATGGAGCTTTTCTGTGATATATTTCCTATAGTTGACCAGTTTGAAAGGAGGGTTGAAGTAGTTCAGAAATGTGTGATGGATTAATTAGGTTGGTGTCGTCTGTGGAGCACATGATCACTGTCAAAGATGAATAGTTTTCCAATTAGTAACAGTTTCCTGGGATGTTAAAAAGCTTTTCATGGGTCTTTCATTTTTGTTGGGTCACTGTTTGCTCTTGAGGATTAGAGAGTTGGAAAAATTTGGCAGACCAAGCAGTATTTTAACAGTTAATGCGCATTGGATGTATTCTAAAATGAAGTTGTGGATTTTAGGTTGCTTTTAGTACTGAAACATTCAGTCAGTCAATTACTTGGTTGGTTCCAGCTTCTAAAAAAGAATTTGTTGTATTTCTGTGTTTTATATCATTGTAAATTGAATGTATTGAATTGAATTGAAATCAAATGAATTGGGCTGGACAGAACAAGCAATGTGATGGCATCACTTTGGGCTCTGATAGACGACAAGCAGATAAATAGTAATAATCAACAATGAAAATGGTAATAAGTTACAGCCATAGTTTCTTTATGATGAATTACAATGATCTACCAACATTAGTTATGGAGAGGCACAACATATAAATGGCATGCATGTCAACCATGCACAAGCCTGTGCAGATATCGTGCACTGCCCTCAGTATGTAACTGTATGTAAGGGTCTGTTTACAGTTCACAAATGTAAAGGGCTGATAGGTGAGCCAGATGCATTCCCAGCAAACATCAGATGCTCTCATCCTGTCACCAAACCACAACAAACAACTGTTTATGGACATTGTACAACATTGCCATCTAGTGTACTTAAGTGTAATAACATACACGGTGTCACCTTCAGCATACATATTAATGCCCAAGTGCTGTCGTCTTGCAGGTATAAAAAGGCCTGAGGTGTGTATAATGTGTATAAATAATGAAAATCTCTTCCTTCACACAGACCACAATTATTTGGGACGCACACACGGGAGAGGCAAAGCAACAATTTCCTTTCCACTCGGGTGAGTGACAGGAGTCAGCTGGATTATTCCACATGACTTTTAATGCACTAGTTTCTGTTTTAGACAGATGTTACCTTTTGCTGAACTGCAGTCAGACCATAATGATAATAAAATTCCTTATTTTCTGGCATTAAATCTTAACCCATTTTCCACAACAGCTCTGAATTGTGACAGTGTGACAGTAATAGACCAAACCTTCAAATGAATGTGCAAACTTTATGTTATGGTTATACATTTTTAGTACTATGCTTTAGTTTTAAAACTATCTGCACAGTCAATAGTTAATTCAGATGAAGTGTGGCAATGAGAAATATATTCAGACCATCATACTGCTGTTGTCGTCTCATGTCCTGCCTGCATATCTGACTGCTGCAGCAGCCCTAAGCTCCGTCTCTGCCTCCCAACAGCACCTGCTCTGGACGTAGACTGGCAGAGCAACAACACGTTTGCCTCCTGTAGCACAGACATGTGCATCCATGTGTGTAAGCTGGGTCAGGACAGACCTGTCAAGACCTTTCAGGGACACACGGTAAGACGTGGATCTTTTGTGTCTGTGCTGCTTTCTCACAGGGAGGGAAATGAGAAGCCATACACAAACCAAACACACCACTGTTAGATAATATGAAGCGTGGCGAAGGACCACTGTAGGTGCATTCAGAAAAACTCAACCCACTTGTTAAAAATCCCCCTCACATCTGTGACAAGCTGACAAACGTTGGACACAGTTTTATAAATCAGTTATTGGGATGCATGGAGACACTGTATATTGATGTGTGAGCATCGAAACAAAATGCACATTGTTTCTAAATTGTCTGTTGCCTGTGCACATCAGTCACATTTGCACCTTTGTTTTATTTCTAACCCCTATCTCTCTCGCTGTAGAATGAGGTGAACGCCATTAAGTGGGATCCCACTGGCAGCTTGCTGGCCTCCTGCTCCGATGACATGACTCTCAAGGTCAGTTCACACAACACACAAATGCAGTGTATGTCACCTAATGGCCAAAAAAAAGGCATAAAACTGGCCTTAATCAGACACATTTTTAAAGAAAAGTGTTGTACCTTGTGTTACCAGTGATTTTTTTTTAATCGCTTCCTTCCTTTCTGGCATAGATCTGGAGTATGAAGCAGGACTCATGTGTCCATGACCTTCAGGCCCACAGCAAAGAAATCTACACCATCAAGTGGAGCCCCACAGGCCCCGGGACCAACAACCCCAGCGCCAACCTCATGTTGGCCAGGTAAGAGTGTAAAGCTGCACCTGAACACCAGCTTCAGTTACAGGAGATTTTATCTCTTTGTGTCATTTGATTGCTACAGTGTAGTTTTGTATTTATAGGTGCAAGATGACAGTGTTTATACAATCCTATCTCAAATTAGGAAAATGAAAAACAGCAGTGTCTTGATATTTTCTCATAATTATGAGGCGATACTCAATCAGGCGGATACTCAATAGTTTATTCAGGTGGGGTGGACCAGTGCTTTACTCTGCTGTGTAGCACATTCTTGTTCTTTTGTTCAATGGGGCATAAAGTGTGTAAAATATTGAACAACTTGTATAAGTTTTCTGACCTCTAATCAGATTTTGGTCGCAGTCTCATTCCTTGAATGAACCTCATCAATAAAATATCTGACAATGATCTCAGGGCTGCGACCTGTAATATGCAGGTTTAACGTGCCGTAATAAGGTTTGCCTGGGCTGAATACTGACATCTCGAGAGACGGTTCTGGTACCTGAGCTGTGTTTTAAGCTGCAGGCTGAGTCACCACATGGCTACCTTAAATGATTTTCAGATGAACCTTATGCTGCAGTGACTCAACTGATCCTGTGGAAATCACAGGGTCAGACAGGCCAGAGTGGGCTTTCCACCTCAACAGCCTACAGTCCTCAAGCGCCTATGTGGACCTGGCAATGCCATCCACTGTGTACTACTCAGTGTGTCATTTTGTCCTTCCATGAAATGCACCTCTCAAATCAATAATTGTAATTACTTATAAGGATTTTTTTTTATCTGAATTAGGAAATAGTTGATATGAGTGACGATATTTTCTCAGGTGAACATAATATTTTTGCATAGACAACTTGTTAAATAGCTTGTTTCAATTGATTAGTAGCTGTCATATCCAGTTGACATACAGTATTTTACAGCCGTGGTACATGGCACTTTATTATTATGCTCCTTCACTCTTTGACACCAAGCTCACATCGCATCCCTCTCCCTAGCGCATCATTTGACTCAACAGTGCGTCTGTGGGACGTAGAGCGTGGGGTGTGTATCCACACACTGACCCGCCACCAGGAGCCCGTCTACAGCGTGGCTTTCAGCCCTGATGGCAGGCACCTCGCCAGCGGCTCTTTTGATAAGTGTGTCCACATCTGGAACACTCAGGTCTGGAATGACAACCAATAACCACATATACACTAATAAACTTTGTGTTAAGTCTACACAAATACGAAAAAGAAGTTGCTTGCCATTTCTAAGATGTGTGTACGTGTTTCTTCAGACTGGTGCTTTAGTCCACAGCTACCGGGGGACAGGAGGGATCTTTGAGGTGTGCTGGAACGCCACAGGGGACAAAGTAGGAGCCAGCGCGTCAGATGGATCGGTGAGTTGTGCTGCATTGAGTGCTTTGACAGACACACATGAACACACACACACACACACCAGCCGCCCTGGCCTCTGTGTACAACTCTCACACCAGTCTACTGACCTGGGGAATCTGCGGGTCAACCCTGTGTATTAAAGGTTTGACCCGGGTAAGCTGACACCATAAAATGGGGTGATGATGACTTATGATGCGAGGCTTCCCTGTTTCAGTGATCTGGCTTGTACATGTGGCATGTGTGGTGGCGACAAGGTCAGAAAACCAGAATTTGAACACAGCTTTGGTGAAATGTAGCATCAAAAATTGAACAACAGTTGATGTTGCAGTGCCATTATTTAACACTAGATAGAGCCACTGTTGTCTGAAATATTAGTCACTGCTTAGTAAATGAACCATTTGTAAATTGTCAATAGCAAACTAACACCAAAAAACACCATCAAAAGTTTTTAGAAAAAATTAGTGAATTTAGTAGCCGTGCAAGAAGTGCTGTGATCAGGGAGATGACAGCAACACCCCATCAGTCAGGCGTTTCTGGTGGATTGCTAGACAGAAGTATTTAGCACAGTTAAAGGGGATACTGCAGCCACCTGGTTGTTAAGCCACGTAACCACTAAAGGAAGTGCTTAAAAAACAAACAAAAAAAACACACGTTAGCGGTCACAGGTACTGGGAGACTGTCCAGGATAAGAGAATTATATACAGAGACCCTTGAAGAAAAGTTTCAGAAAGTCTGCACCTGTTAGCACTACGAGCAGATATGACAAGAACACATGAGGTGGGTTTTGGGAAACAGCTCTTGAATGTCATTAAGTTGCTGAGCAAAATCTGACGCCTATTGGAAATTGCTCAGAAACCAGGAAATCTCAGTTCATTGATGCCTTTCAGCCCTAAGCTGACTTGAACACTGGAAATGCCTTGCCACTTGGTAGGTTCTGCAAAAATACTGGTTTAAGGAGCTCTGAATATGATGCATTGTTTATTGTCCAATTTCTACTCACTTCTGGACCACAAAGCAGGTGTTCAGAACTTACTTTTAATTATTTGTGTGTTGCCCTAGACAATGTCCAACAAAACTGAAATCTTTTATGATCGGCTGTTGCTTTGGACGGATATAGCATTTTACGCAATATTCAGGGTGCCGTGTCAATGTTGTTGTGTGTGCTTATGTACATGAGTAATTGTACACGAGCTTATGTCATAATGTATTAACAATGAATTATATATTTACAATGCAACTAAAAAAAAATCAAACAAAAACCTAGTAGAAACTTTGTCTTAACAAATAAAGGGAAGCTAATATCTGAAGTTATGATGATAATGAAACTCCTGTCGTGTGTGAGTTAGAGCTACTGATGTGGTAGAAACCAGTAGCGTTGTAGTGTCTACTGTCTGCTAATTCCTGATGTTTTAGGATTTGTATAGCACCTGAGAATGGAGTCGTCTAGCGGAACATGACCGAGCTCGGAATGCCTGTACGAGGGCAAAAATAAAGACGTCTGCATGTCACGCCAAATGCTGAGTGCCATAGATGCAGGCACATAACCAAACCGAGCAGCTCCCTCCTCCTCATGTACACACAAGGGTACTTTCCTAAAGATATAGTAATTAATTAGTACCTGAGAATCCTGACGTGTCAATGCGACATTGATGGGCGATCTGACCTCCACAGACCGCTGGAATGACATCATGACTTGGACTGCGCTTGCAAGTGTACGAACGCCTGCCGCACCAATAAGAAAAGAGCTCCTCCTCTCATGTACACACACCCTCAATAGTATATTGAGTCCGATGTAACCTTGCGTTGCCCCACACCGAGAGAGAAACCATAATCACTCATATCTGACACAACACCAAGCCGCAACAAACACAGGATTCTTCTTGCTTTCTCTTTTTATTCCTTTGTACCAGATTTATAAAGATTTTTGTTCTCTGTTGGTGTGTGCATATTGCATATGTTCAGCATCTGGTGTCCTGTGGACATTTGTTGTTTTGAATTTGGATTTTAACTGTAGGTTTTATATTACATGTGGGTTGGGAGAGAAGGGAGGGGGGGTTGGAGTTGTTTGTCTTTTTACCAATTGGTATTCGAAGCTGTTCATTGGGAGATCCATTCATCTTTTTTCTTGGCACTCTTCAAGGTTTCAAAAATGCAGATGTATAGCTCAGAAGATGAAGTGGTTTTAATAATTTTGTCAACTATTTTTATCGAATAGATTTGCTCCATTTGCCATTTTTAACAAAGTCTAAAGCAGTTAATCAAGGGTGAACTGTCCTTTGTTGTATCAAAATAATAGAGATGTTTCAGGTTTTCAACAATTCATCAGGTTAATATAGAGCTCTAAAGAATTCAAACCTCCAGGCTGAGAGATAATCTGTGTAGCTGTTAAACTCCATGTCAATCTCATGTTCTAAACAGCGTTGCTGGGCAGAAAGACAGTTAATGTGCAGTCAGATTGAGGTTTCCTGTCATAAATGAAGAGAGTGATCCTGGACCTGCGTCCTAGCTCTACGAGTAGAGGCCATGCTTTTATGTGTCAGTAGTGAGAAGATGTAGATAGCAATAGCTTGCTTTCTGAGCGTCAATGAGCTTCTGTGGGGAAAGAGAGAGAGAGAGAGGCGAGAGAGAATATGGGAAAACAAGCCCATAACGGCTTGAATCCATCTGACGTAACAATTAATAGTCATAATTGTGCTTGTATTCCAATGCTTAATGGAATCAGACTAAGTTGGTCTATATTTGCTTGGTCATTAGGCTCAGGACATCATGTGGAGTGCCACTCCCTCTGCAGGCACAGGGTTTTGGATCGCACCTTCGTAAACACAACTCAACATTCGCTCACAATCACGACTGAGACAGTGAAATCGAAAAACCTTGCACACTCAAATCACTTGGTCATGTTGAGCAGACCTTCACAACCAACCGAGTCAGCTTAAAATTCACTCTGTAACGTGTGCAGCCTTTCGTATCCAGTGTTTGACCTAAGTACACTACAGTCGTAATAGTTTGGTTTGTGTTGTTGCCAGAGCATTAACACACATACACACTCTCTGGAGACAGGCTGTGTTCAGGGCCTATTGCACGGAATAGACGGCGCTTTTGTTTGTAGTGTTCAGACACTTGCCTGTTTTTGAGGCAAGTCTATGCTTGTTGTTAAGAGCGCACTCGCAGCATATGACTTATAGTAACATGGTATCTGCATATAAATATTATATATATATAAATATATATCTGTGCTATCACAGGGGATTCTTTTTGTAATGCCACTTGTGTGCTGAGGGTGGATTTTATAGAGTAACTTTTTTGAAGAGACGCTTGAAACTAACAGTATGTGATGTTGCTGTGCATCACCAGGGGTTCGTGACCATGAAGGAATGGTTTTTATAAAATACCATTAAACAGTCATAGCGAATTAAAAACAAAAAGAAGAGCAGCCTTTGAAGGGTCTTTTTTCTCTTGCACTTTAGGCTAAAAATGGAGAAACGGAGGTGTGTTTATTCAAGTCATCATAGCCACACCTAATGTTGAAAATGCTCTTAACGATGAATCAGAATTGATGCAGAAAGTGTGGCGTGAAGTGTTCCAGTGGGGAGACGAGGGGGGAAAGGTGTCTTGTCTCAACTCCTCAAGGTTAGACGAACCAAGCCAACTTCATCTCATAGCCATAACTAACATCTAACGGCTTTGAACACAGACACAGACAACACACAGACACACCACACAGACACACACACACAGACACATAGACACACAAACAGCAGTCAGAAGTTTCAGAGATTTTTGTTCATAGAATGTTGCTCGTTTTTTAAAAAGAAAAAAAAAAAAAAATTTTTTGTACTGAAGCTATAGACTATTTTGAAAGTTTGCTTTAATGCAGTCAGCAGTGATTGGACTGTACCACAAAGACACTATTTCAAATGATGTCTATGACAGTGGAATGGTATTTTATAATGGTTTGTTTTTTAGATGATAAGCTTTTTTACACTGCAGTCAAGCGTGTTTGCTATTTTTTGTTCCTACCGAAGTACTAATGTTGACTCTATCTTTGCTTATGTCGGAGAGCCCTTGAAGGTTTTGTACTTCTCAAATTTTGTAATTCTGATTTATTTGTAGCTATGTACTCAAAATGAACAAAAATATAAAATTTGGATTTAATTTGTTGATGTATTATAACACAGAACATGTAAATACCAATTTGCAGATTTTTTTTTTGTGTTGTCTTTGCCCTCACTATGTTGTATCTTCTTTCTCTCTCAACTCACATGGTTGCTGGTCTGCAGCCTCCTGATCTGACTGTTGTAAAATCAATCAGATCTCAAGGTCTAGAATAAATCTATTTTGATAATATCATCGTGTTTGCATTTGGATTTTCACACTTGTCTGGCTTTGGTTGTTAATTGATTGTTATGGACTACAAGTACCTAAACTACAATCCTTGGCAAACACACTGAGTTCAGACCAGTGTTTTTCACATTTTAATGTTGCGCCTCTCTTCCCTCATCATTCAGCTCAATATCCATCATGACAGAGCAAAAACAGAAATTTGAAATGTGAAAATGTGTAGGAACCTGATCAAGTCAAAATTTTAATTATTTAATTAATTTGTTCAACACTTTGGTTTAAGGCAACATACCTGAAAGGACTAATGACATTCCCCAGCCTCAAGACATACTTTTGCTTAGTGCTAATTTGCAAACATTAGTAAAACAAAGCAAAATTTTATTTATTTGCACCTGAAAAACCTGAGAATTTTTAACAGGAACCCCTGCACACCTGCTTATTCATGCAATTTATCAATCGGCCAATCGTGTGGCAAGCAGTGCAATGCATGAAGTCATGCAGCTACAGGTCTGGAGCATCAGGTAATGATCAATCAAAACATCAGAATAGAGAAAAATGTAATCTCAGTGACTGACTTGACTTTGGCTGCAATGTTTCACACTGAATGTAATGAAAGCTGGGATCAGTTGATGTACACAGAGCTGTTGACTAGAGGGCGCCA